CCTCGATGCCCAAGAGGGCGTTCCCAATGAAGCACGCGAGGCACAGAATGCGAGAGCGCTGCAGGTGCTTGGGCGAGTTCGGGAAAAACTGACGGGTCATGACTTTAAACCCACTGAGGAGCTCAATGTGAGCGACCAAGTTGACAAGCTTCTTGCACAGGCGACGAGTGTGGAGAACATTTGTCAACATTGGATTGGATGGTGTAGTTTCTGGTGATTGTTTTGTTTCCTAAAGAATCTTTTGTTGTATTCAGGGTCTTTTGATGGCGATGGTGGATTATGCATGATATCAGATTTATGGGTTTGGGCTGTAGCATAATGATTCTTTTCAGCTATGTCGGCCTATCCTATGAGGATGATTGGGCGGTGTTATGGCTTTAATTCTTGTTTTAGACATGATATTATGTTGAACCGAAGCACTGGGAATTAGTAGTAGTAGTAGTAGTAGTAGTAGTAGTAGTAGTAGTAGTAGTAGTAGTAGTATATATGGATTTGCTTCTTCAGATTGCACGTGCTCATATTAACTTCGTTTAGTACCTGGTTGCAGAGTATAAATCAGGCATTCAAGTAGAAATGGCTCAGCAAACATACAAATGCCAAAATCAAGGTACCTAGGTGAGTCAAACAATCTCCTCGACCTGGTTGGATGTCTCCGGTCATATATGCTGCTACGTCACAATAGGTATTGATTGCTAAGTCCGAGCCGAGGTCACGGGCAGGATCATCTTCAACTCTCCTCACCCTCCTCTGTTCCCTCATTATTCTCATACTGTCTTTCTATCCTATTGTGCCTACTTCCATTCCAACGGTCCTTCTTAGGACAGGAAAATTATGGCGCCCACTCTACAACCTGATCATGGGGTACACCCAGTTGTTCGCAACGCCCTGCGCGTCTCCCTCAGTGCCAAAGAATACAAGGCCCTTCACGACTACGCCCAGCGTTCCCGCTCCTTGCAAAACAAACTACCAACCCCTGCAAGATTCGAAGCCATTACTCGATCCAAGAATAAATACAATGAAACGGCTGTACGTGCGTCGCTGCGCGTCTTTCTGGCCTCGGGGGCGTTGATGAAGCTTGTCGACTTTGTTATCAGCCGCATACAAAAGAACTCGGCTCAGTACGAAATAGTCTTATCTTGAATGTGAAATTTTTGAACCAGAATCATCGTTTGCTAACGTGTGCTTGGAAATAGGCAAAAACCCCGAACCTCGCTGCTTCGATCTCCAAATTTCCGCCTTTCCCTTGCGATGTCCCTGATGGTTTTGCTGCACCGGCTCCTACATCGCTTCTTTGTCAAATTGCGCATAAACTTACGCAACGATGAGGCAAAGCCGTTTCGCGAGCGCAACCCGCGCATCTCGAAGGCGCTCACATCGCGGTATGCGCCTGCAGTCGGTGCCAGTCTGGCGGGTCTTTCGCTGGGAATCTGCACGCAGAACCAGCTCCGGATGACGGTCGCTATTTACGCCGCTACACGGGGATTGGAGGCGGTTTACAACGTCATGGATGAGAAGGGGTGGTTTGAGAACCGGCCGTGGTGGTTTGGGAGTTGGTTGCTGATGCCGGCGTCGCTTGCACAGCTATTCCACGCCTTTGTGTTTGATCGGGAGGCTACACCTAAGGTATGTGTCCAGATTTGTTTGATGTCGGCTGCAATGGCTTTGGCTAACCGAGTATGGTAGTGGTTTGGGAGTGTGATTATGAAATACTCACCGAGTTATATCCACGACCGGCCGGATACTTTGCCAGACCAGTTTCCCTGGCCAGAGAAGGATGAGATTGTAGATTCGATCGCGTCAATTGCTAGTCTCCGCTGGCCGTAAGTTGTTTCGCCTTTTTTTTTTTTTCCTTTCCCTTTTTGCCAGGCCAGTGAAAGCCAGAAGCTAACAGTTGCAGGGCGTTCGTCTCGCCTATACTTCGTCCTTCGGTTCCCAATGTCTTACCATCGGGACTCAAGTCTATCTCGCCGATTACTGGACCAGCGCATCCATCAATACCCAACCTGTCATGTGCTTTGCTCCATCCTGGTAGTCCTAGCTGTGGCACAGCTTTCGCGCATCACCTACTGCTCTCTGTATCTGCTCTAGCGCGACTTTTCGCGATGGTGGCACTTGCGCGGTCGGCACTGAATTTGAAAGCATGGCTAACCCAGCCGATCTCGACGGTTAACGGTCTCTCAAAACAAGTCCTCACACAGACAGCGGTGCTTTCAACGGCAATCGGTTCGGCGTGGGGCAGTGTGTGCATGTGGAACGCGATTTTGCCACGGACAGTATTGCCGACGCAGCGATTCTACCTCAGCGGTGCACTTGCCGGGGTGCCGTTCGCTTTCCTAGGAAATAACAGCCGCAGTGTGTTTTTGTACTTTTTCCGAGCGGCAGTGGACTCGGCGTGGAAGGCGGGGGTGAAGCGGGGATTATGGAAGGGGTGGAGGGGCGGCGATGCCTGGCTGTTTGTTGTGGCCTGGGCGGTTCTGGGGAGCGCGCTGGAGGGCCGCCCGGGCACGGTGCAGGGACGAGGCGTGAGGAAGCTCCTTGCGTGGATGAAGGGCGAGGGCTTCACAGATCCCATTGAGAAGCGGAGGCGCAGAGCGTGAGATTTTACTTATTATCATCAGCACTGTAATTAATTGTGACCATGACCTATGAAGCATTGAAGTATGGCCCGCGAGAAGGGGCAATTTTCCCCGCATGGGGTATCGGAACCCATTTCTCTCCCTGGAAGCCCTTTTCCGACTCTCCACCAAGTCCGCGTTCCTGTACGGACGATGGTCTCCATTGGACTCGGAGTTGCTCCTGTGCGATGATGGGTTAATTTTTGCAAATGAGGGGCATTCAAGCTCCTGCTTTGTTGGAGACCAGACCGACTTTCGCCTGCAGCTGTACACTTAAATTCGTCACTCGCTGTTTGCTCCCCTCATCGCAATTCCATCATTCCTCACTCACACCCTTATTTGCTCCTTGATCCCATCCTCATTTCCTCATTTCCCTCATCTACACCACAATGACTGCCCAACGCCTCAAGATCGGTTGCGCCGGCCTCGGCCGCATGGGTAAGCGCCACGCCCTTAACTTCCTGGAGCGCACTCCCCGCGCGGAGCTCGTCGCCGCCAGCACCCCGGACGACACTGAAATCGAATGGGCCAAAATCCACCTTGCTCCCTACGGAGTCAAGCTCTACAAGAACTACGACGACATGCTGAAGCACGAGGGCCTGGAAGCCGTTGTTGTCGCCTCTGCCACAGCCGTGCACGCCGAGCAAGCCATCAAGGCCATCAATGCCGAGAAGCACGTTCTCTGCGAGAAGCCGCTGTCGACCAGCGTTGAAATTGTAAGTCACACATTCAGTACTCTCCCTTAATCATCCCAAAATTGAGGAACTAACATGAAAACCAGTCCCAATCCGTCCTCGACGCCGCCAACGCTAAGCCTCACCTCAAAGTCATGTGCGGCTTCTCCCGCCGCTTCGACGCATCCTACCGCGACGCCTACAACAAGATGTCCTCCGGCGCCCTGGGTGCCCCCAGTGTCATCCGCAGCCAGACCTGCGACAAGCTCGACCCAACCGGGTTCTTCGTCGCATACGCTGAGTTCTCCGGCGGTATCTTCGTGGACTGCTCAATCCACGACATCGACCTTTCGCTCTGGTTCTTCGGGCAAGACTCCAAGGTGCGCTCTGTCTCTGCAGTCGGAATCACAGCCGTCGAGCCGGACCTGCGCAAGCACAACGACCGTGACAACGCCGTTGGTCTCGTTGAGTTCTACGACGGCAAGATGGCGTACTTCTACGCTTCTCGCATGATGGCCGCGGGCCAGGAAGACACAAGTGAATTCATTGGAACAAAGGGCAAGGTTACAGTGAATGCCCAGCCGCAATTGAACCTGGTCCAGACGTTCGATGCAGGTGGTATCAAGAAAGAGATCCCGCAACACTACTATGACCGCTTTGAGTATGCGTTTGTGACGGAGGCGAACGAGTTCACGGCCTCGGTATTAGAGAACACGACGGTGCCCTTGAAGCTGGATGGTGCTGTCCAGGCTGTGCGCATTGGTGCTGCGCTGCAGGAATCCCTGATTACGGGGGAGAAGATCTTCTTTGATGAGCGTGGGAACCGGGTCCCGAAGGCGAATCTATGAACGTAATTTTTAATGGTTCTAACGGCTATGGTTTTTATGTTATGCGTTGGATTAGAGTCTAGCATATATAGATTGACAAAATAGATTCAATACCCTACCTAAGGAGCATAACGCTATCTCATCGATATTAATCTAGTAGCCTTCGGTACTTTTCTGTCTAAAATGTATGATCATATCCAGCCCACCCTGGCTACAGATTGGACATGACTCGCGGGAGTGCAGCTGTCATTCAGGTAAAGTAAATGAATACCAAGCAGGCCCAAGTATAATGACGTATAAGTGAGATGTTCCTGAAGGAATTACACTAGGGCTTATCATGCTGATATCAGTACAGAACTGCAGACGGGATACAGCTTCTGAAAGACTTCTGTTGAGTTATCCTCCTAAGCACGTACTTCAAGATCAAACATACTCCCCAACCTATATCGGCGCCTCATCGCTAATTATCTACTTGGAAATGCTCGTCTAGCCACAATATCAACCCATCTACACCGCATACAACCCAAAGTGCGAATAAGCCCTTATATTTAACTAAAATCTTACTTCGTCCGCCGAATCCTGGCCGAGTCAGTTGAACAATTGCTACCGAGTCGTCTCTGTCAAACACAGCCAGCACAGCCCAGTAGTCTTCTTTGATCCTGTTTCGGTTTTCAGCTTGTGCTATGGTTAATCTATATAAACCCTCCTCAAGGGCGCCTGCATCACCTCATTCCTGCTCATATCGCACAATCTCATAAACTCCTATACTCTTCGATTACTCCTACAAACCAAGCAATACTAGAACAGTATAGCTGCAAGCCAAGAAAACCAAGCCAAAATGAAGCTCTTCGCCACCGTTTTCCTCCTCGCCGTCACTGCCGTGGCCGCCATCGACATCGAACCGAGGGTTGGCTGCTCCCAGCCCGGCGAGTACTGTAACGGCGGTACCTTCCTCTGTTGTTCTGGAGATTGTAACACGGGTAATAGTGTGGTATGTTATGTTTTGCTTTGTTCTTTTCTTGCCCTTGGATGTGTGGTTTGGTGGGGCTAATCGGGTATTCTGTTTAGTGCCCCTGATTGATTGTCGGCTATCGAAGAATGGAACTGCTTACACTTGGTTTGAATCTGCTTGGACAGTGGGCTTGAGAAGAAGTGGGGTTTGAAGAAATGATGCACTTTGTAAAAAACCATCTATGTCATGCATGTTAAGCTAACTAAGGCCAATATAGTAATGGCATCAAGATACCGCTTTGATTCGTCGTAACTCGTAAAATGAAAAATGAAAACAGGCAGTCTACCACTTGATGACCTTCTTGGGGAAGAACTCATCAATCAGGTCGAGGTAATAAGGCTTTAGCTCCTCCACCGTCGGGACATCGTCGCTCTTGCTGTACAGATCATAAGGGTTGAAAGCCTTCACAGCCTTGAGCATCTCCTCGTCCTTCTTGTTCATCAGGTGCCTGTACGCACCGGCGTTGTGCCAGGGGTAGAATGAGTGGTATCGGATCATGGCGAGGGCCTCGTCGGGGAGAGTCGACTGCTCCTTGACAACGTGGTAGAGGTACTCGTCGTGGCCCCATGAGAGCATGACATTGTCGAGCCCGCAGCCGGGAGTGTAGATGCCGTTGGTGGTAGAGTAGATAGGGTGGCCGAAGTCCTCGTTATCCTCGAACGACTCGGTGCCGTAGATGATACGCTCGTCGAACCCGCAGCCGACGGGGAATGTGTCGCCGACGACGTCCCACTGGCCGCGGGCGTCATAGAAGAAGAGCAGCTTGCCCAGGTCGTGGATGAGACCGGTCAGTTGCATCCAGCGGGGCTTGCCATCGCGGCGAATGGCCTCGGCGGACTGTAGCAGGTGGTCGATCTGGGAGAGGGAAGTATCTGGGTCACTTTCGTCGATCAGGGTGTCGAGCTTCTCCATGGCGTCCCAGACGGACATCTCGGCGCGGGTCTTGGAGTGGAAGTCATTGCGAGCCTTGAGGTTGTAGGCGACTGTTTGCTTGCTGTGCTGTTCCTTGTAGAAGTTCTTGACGCGGTCGCAGGCGTCCTCGTACTGGCGGAACTGGGTCTTGTCCTTCTCCTTGTCGAACTCGGATTCCTCGTAGAGGTCTTTCTCGGTCTGGGCCTTTTCCTTCAGGTTCTGCTTGAGAACGTTGACGTTGTCGATGGCGTCGGAGATTTCCTCGAGGGCGGCGCCGTTGGCGACGTTGGCGTGAGGGCTCATGATGGACTTTTTTGGTAACAAACTTTTAGTAAAAAGAGGCAGTTGTTTGGTTGATGGAGAGCTGAGTCTGTCTGAGACGAGAATAGTATATATAACGGCATTGTGGCAGGCGAATGAGGATGCGAATTCCGAGTGATGGCATGGTGTAGCTGGAGAGGACGGATTCCAGAATCCGCAGCGAAGACCTGGAACCCAGTTTCCGATCCCCCCGCGATCTCTTCCCTCAGACTCTGCCCAGCCTGCCCAGGCCCGAACTAACTTGTTGAAGTAAGCCCCGGGCAAAGGCCCGGAATCGCTCCGGTTGATGGAATTATTGTTGAGAGTCTGGTCAAATATCCGGGGGAATACCCCCCGACTGCCCCTCCATCGACTTGCGCGCTTCGGAGTATATCATGCCGCTGTTTCTCGCCTTTTCCCTCTTTCTCTTTTAATTTTCTTTACTTTCTTTCCTCCTTTTTACCTTTTTTTGCTTTACAAACTATTCCCAGATACCCAATTGCAAAAATGGCCATCGCAGACACACGCTTCAAGCTCAACACCGGCGCTGAGATCCCCGCGCTCGGTCTCGGTATTTCCCCTCATTCCCATACAAACAAACAACAACCACCTAACAATCACCAGGAACATGGCAATCCGCCCCAGGTGAAGTAAGCAAGGCCGTCTATCACGCTCTCAAAGTGGGCTACCGCCACATCGACGCTGCACAATGCTACGGCAACGAGACCGAAGTCGGCGAGGGCATCAACCGCGCCCTCTCAGAAGGCCTTGTCCAGCGCTCTGAAATCTTCGTCACCACAAAGCTGTGGTGCACATATCACACCCGCGCAGAGGAGGCCCTCAACCTCTCCCTCTCCAAGCTCGGCCTCGACTACGTCGACCTGTACCTCGTGCACTGGCCGCTGGCGATGAACCCCAATGGGAACCACGAGCTGTTCCCCAAGCTGGCGGACGGGAGCCGCGACATCGTGCACAGCCACAGCCATGTGACGACGTGGAAGAACATGGAGGAGCTTATTGCGAAGAACCCCGGGAAGGTTAAGGCGATTGGAGTGTCAAATTACTCCAAGCAGTATCTGGAGGAGTTGCTGCCGCAGGCGAAGATTGTTCCTGCTGCGAACCAGATTGAGAACCATCCGTCGCTGCCGCAGCAGGAGATTGTGGATTATTGTAACGAGAAGGGCATCAATATTACGGCTTATAGTCCGTTGGGCAGCACTGGGTCACCGTTGTTCAGTGCGCCGGCCATCGTGGAAGTTTCGAAGAAACGGAATGTTAGCCCTGCGACAGTGTTGTTGAGCTGGCATTGTATGTTCCATTCCTCCCTTACCATCCTTCTTCCTTTTTTTCCTGTTCTTGAAACTAACAAGCAGTCAGTGGCCCGTGGTTCCGCCGTACTCGCAAAGTCAGTCACGCCCTCGCGTATCGAAGAGAACAGAAACCTCGTCGCTCTGGAAAAGGAAGACGTCGACCTCATTGCCAAGTACTCTGCCGAGTTGGCTGCGACGAGCGGCTTCCAGCGCTACGTGTATCCTCCTTTCGGCGTGAACTTTGGATTCCCTGACAAGCAGTGACTATCCGCCGGCTCGAGTAGACTGTAATCGGGAACAGTTAAAGTATATAGATTGTACATAGAAAAAAACTGTTCATTATTCGGTCGAATGATCACTGGAGCAACCATCAGTAACATAAAGTCTACTCTATACATAAATTCTCCATCCCATCCAAGTGAGTTGTGTATCCTGATTTCACTCAATGTATCAGAAGTTTAACAAACGATGTCGTCGAGTCATAACAAGCGAGGGATTGACAAAATGGCCAGTTAATACCGAAACCCAACCCATTCCCTCTCAAGCGCAGTCTCAAACCCAATTTCATCTTCTCCGTCCTCACGCCGATCACGGACTATCTGGTTACTGTAAAATTCGCGATAACCCAACTCCTTCACCTCATCAGGGACATACACGGCACCAATACTCACAGACTCAACACAACCAGCGTCCTTTTCAACACCATCCGCACCATCGGTGTCCTTTTGCTGTCGCTGCGCCTTTCTTGCCTTTCCTTTCAATCTTCCTTTTCCTTTTTTCGCACCCTCAGCAGCAGCACCACCTGCAGTGGCAGTGTTAGCTCCGGACGCATTCTCCTTCCGTGCCTTCTCGATCAAAAAAGCCGCATAGTTTTTCAACGCCGCCCGACGTCTAGCCTCCCTCTCAAGGATAATCCCATGCGCGAGGTCCGAATTCAAGAGGCCGCGCTGGAGCAGAATTGAGAAGGCTAGGTGCAGTTGATGAAATCCCAGTGTGAGCAGGATTGCAGAGGGGATGGTAACGTCAAGCCCGGGGACTGTAGTCGCGACCGGAGGAGAGGCTTCATCTGCACCCCCAGCATCTTTATCGTTGCTTGCTCCAGCTCCCGCTTTTTTGCTGGAAGGAGTAGGTGTGTCTGGGGCGGAGCGGCTGTTAAGATCTTTCTTGTTTACTCTCTCGATGGATTCATCTTTCTCGTCTGGTGTCTGGTTCTCTTTTGCGTTTTCGAGACTCTCATCGATTACTTCTTCGGCGATGGGCTCGAGGCCTAAGGAAGGGAACGAGCCGAACTTGACGTCTGCAAGGCGAGGGTTGTTTGCAACCGCGGCAGATGGGGGATGAGACTTTGTTTGAGCGGTGGCCTTTCGAATGCGGTACTTCGTCTGTGCAGTTTGCGCTGGTTGTTCCGACGAAGGTGAGGTCTTGAGAAACTCTGGGATACGATCAGGGAGAATAGTCGACTGCGCAGCAGTGTACAGCTTGAAGCCTGGCTTCATGTTCCTGAACGCAAAATCCAGGGATGCGTAAACAAGACGACGCGACCAGTCGTTTTCCAGATCCCGGGTGGGAAAGAGGCCTTTTGTTGAAGTGACGGCCATAGCGTCTGAGCTTGGACTGCGAGCTGTGCGAGCTGGTGCTGGAGCAGGATGTGGACTCTCGGGGTCGGGCTTAGAGTCACGGCTGCTGGTTTCATCGCCATCGCCATCGGATACTTTGATAGACTCGCCCTGTTCACCAACATCCTGGGTGTGATGCCCAGACTCCTCATATTGGCATTCAACCTCTTCAACCCAAGGCGGCTGAGGCATGACAACCGTAAACTTGTACGTGTGAAGTCCACATTGAAGGACTTGCTCAACAGTTTCCCAACTAAGAAGATCAATAGCCATACGAAATCCAGCATCGACAACGGGGGTTAGATAGAAAAATGCGCCGCAAACTGCGTATCCGATAGCCATATCTAGCATCGCCAACTGCACGGAAAACGGATACTCAGGCTCACAGCCGGCTGGTACCGGATCATAACCAAAATCTTCCAATGTGATGAGCTTGAGAGTCTCCAGTGTGATAATAGGCTTGCCGTAGAGGTAATGCACCACCTGCTCCCATGACTTGAGCATCATGAAGTTCTCGCCCGCAACCGCTGTGATCTCCTCATTATAATATTCCCTACCAACAAGGAGGGAGGTAATGAGTGGACTACGCGCAAGGACGCATTTGTGAGCTGTCATTACGATCGGCCAGAACTGATCATTTATGGAGCGCAGAGTGAGCTTGATATCGCTCATGTGGTTGGATTCCAACATATCGAGGAGGCTATTCGACAGCTCAAGACTCGCCTGTGCTGCCAAACCGTATTCGGGATTGGCTCCCAGCATCTTGATGGGCGAGGCGGGCCTGGTAGGAGATGGCGATGCAGGAGTCACCATGACTCGAACGCCGGAGCGGTTTTCTGGTGAGCCTATGGGCGTTTCGGTTGGGTCTCCTGTGCGAGGAGCATCAGTATTGTCAATCGCTTCGCTGGCCGGGGGTGGGGTGCTGATCGGAGGAGTAGGAGGCGTGTAAGGCCCAGCGACCGATGCGGCAGCAGAGAGTGTCTTTGAGTCGTCTGAGTCTTGTGTAACTGCTCCTGCATTCTCATCGGTCCGGCAATAACAGCAATCACCCGCATGATGTATGCAGCAGCAGGATGCACGAAGGGGGCAGCCACACTCGACTGGGGGTTTGTGTACACAGCACGCGGCGTTGAACTGACACAACATGCGACTATGGACACGGCATATGAGTCTATTCTCATGGCTTTCCTGATGTCCCTCTTCACGACCATAGTCATATTGATATTCATTCTCGTGCTCGTGCTCTTGAGAGTGCTGGAATTCCCCCTGTTCCTCGTTCTTCTTTGGCTGTTGTTTTGGCTGGGGCTCCGACTGCGAAGCTCCACGATCTCCATGCACAACAAACACCCCTGATACATTAGTAGAGCAGCCAATGCCTTGTCTGTTAGTATCAGTCTTCTCAAGCTTTCCGTCACGCGGCTGCTCTCCCCCGGCATGTTCAACCTGAACTTCTTCTTCAACATCATTAACACATCCATGTTTTTTCTCCTCTTTCTCTTTCTCCTTCTCTTTTTTCTTCTTCTCCTTCTGCCTCTGCTTTTTCTTCTTCTCGGCCTTTGCCTTCTGTCTCGCGGACGACCCATCCACCTGGGGCAACCGCTTCTCCTCAACTGACTCTTTAACTTCAGTATCTATACCGGTGGTCATAGTCCCAACAGAGCGACAGTTAGATGTATCCGGTGTCTCGGCTGTCTCAGACTCTGCAGTGCCAGCGCTGGAATGAAGCCGGTCGATGTTGAAGAAGTCGTCAAAGCTCCGAGTTGTTGAGGAGAGTTCGGATGTGCAGAATGACTTGGTGCGCCTCACCATCTTTTTTTGCCCTTTCCTGACTTCTTTTTTTTCTTTGGTTTTGAGGGGTTTATTATGTAAACAGATGAGGTTTCTTGACGATAGAGGTATCTTTTGGTCTGAGTTTGATAAAAGGTAGATGGGGTGGATAGAAAGGAATGACTTTGCAAGTGTTGTGTTGATAAAAGGGGATAAATGGAAGAGCAGAAGAAGAGAGAAGAGATGTCTTAGCTTCATGTTGTTGCCTTCACTGATGTCGCCGCGGCGATGAAGGTCTGAATACTGTTTGTATGCTTTTCTTTGTGGCTCCCACCGACCTGCCTTCTTTTAAAATAAGAGAAGCATGCATTTCCACATGAATTTATAAGTAATAATGGTTTGACAAAGCCTAGATAGCCTCGGTACTAGATTTTCAGGGTATAGGTGAAGTACAAGCTTGATATCTTTCAAGATTCTCGTATAGGGCTTCTGTTCCACGTGACTTGGATCACTGATGTTCACAAGAAAATATCTACAGATAGATCTTAAAATATCATTAATTGTTAATGAGATTAACTATTTAATAAGTATTAGTGATTGATCAACTACACTGAAATGAAATGAAGTGTAGTTCCCCTTTTACTACAGCTCGCATATGATGTACCAGGAATATCGTTTATTGCTGCAAAGCTCCCTGGTTCAACTTAAATGTTCCAGCTCGGCCATCTGCTTCTGCTCTGGCTTAAATAAACGATTTTCGGGTCCTTTTTACCGAGGATGATCTTACAATTAAGCCAGAATGAATTATGATAATTACGCATTATCCATAAAAAAAAAGAAATTGCCAAGACTAGTATAGTATCCACCGCTCAAAGATGAAAAAAAAACAATGGTATCTTTCATCAGACCAATAACAGACCAGGTATCTTAGTTACATCGAAAAAAAAAATTGGAAAGGAAAATTTGCTAAAGATCGACTATGATCAAATCAGAACATGCCTCCGTCCATAGGGATTCGGGGCTGGCGTTGTGTAGGAGCGGGCGATGCGCTAGCCGACATCGTCTGTCGTGTCCTGAGAGCGGAATTCATGTCGCCACCCTCACTTGAGATTTTGCGCAAGCGGTTGCGCGGTCGAGACCGAGACCGAGATCGGTCGTCGTCCTCGAATGTGCTGTGCTCTTCTGGGAGCTCTTGGTCAGGTTGTGGGACAGGCATGGGGTTGGAGTCGTGCGAGTCGTGCTTGTCGTCCTTCAAGGCCCCAAGAATGGTTTGGGTGGTTGTTTGCCGGCGACGGCGAGGGTTCATCGGAGGGAGAGGCGGTGTCTCCATGCCGTTACTTAGGCTTGCGCCGGGGGGAAGGCCGACGGTGGGGACGTTTGATGTGCAGGAGATGAAAGTGGGCTCGGAGATTTTGGTTTTGTCGACGGAACGTTTCTGGAGACTGGTGTGCCCTGCAGCACGTTGGGGCATGGATTGTGCTCGCTGGATAGCTGCGGCTGTTGCTGCAGAATCACCGGCAACGTCGTACAATGGTGGTGTTGCGTTGGCAGAGAAGGGTGGTGCAGCGGGTGAGGGCCGAGGGGCTCCAATACTGGACGAGTTGGCCACAGGAACAGCGAACGGTCGATCGTGAATTGGCGTTGCCGATCGGCTCTCGGGGCGATATACACCAGACGCTGCAGACGACGACCGATCATACGCGCAGCGATCGTGGGCCTCAATGGAAGGGCGCGCGGATGACGCAACAGAAACAACACCACGTCGTCCATTGCCAGATGAGAAACTGTTGTCAGAAGCGGTCTCATCTTCCTCCAGTGTCGTAAGGTTGTCGCGGTCACGGCGCGAGCGACTCTTAGAGCGACTAGAAGTATTTGAGTTCGACCTATCTCTACGAGCGCGGAAGCTCGTGTGAGGGGATGTGCCACGACTGCGGCTTGATTCACGAGAATCATCATTACTGCGGCGCCCGAAGCTAGCTATTCTCGACCGCATGGATCGTGGTTGTTCTGCCACTTGAGGAGCGCTAGAATTCCCATGCTTTCCAATGTTGCCAAGGCTGGGGAACGATACCCTATCCTCCTCAGCCCAGGGGTCTTCCGATACCAAGGCCGGTGTAGAGGCATTGCCACCGAAAGGAAGGCCCTTCATACCGCGAGGTTCGCCTCGACCAAATAGATGGTGCTTGCTGGGTTTGTTTTTAAGAAGTGCAAATGCATTCCCAGGTTTGGGACCAAAATCAGGGGTCTGGCGGCCGGAAACAGGGCTCGCCGCGCGACTTTCATCCGCAAAGTCCCGAAGCTTTTCCTGCACCCTTCGCCGCCGCTCGGCAAGCTCATTCTCAAACTCTTCTCGCTCCTTCTGCGTCTCTGTGCTTCCTTGGCGCCGGTGCTGGGCGGCAAGCTCATCCCGCCAATCGGGGATTGGAGGCGGTGGAGGAGCAACGGTAGGAGGATGAGATGCTACATCTGGTTGAGGAAGTTCAATGGTGGATTCTCTGGGAGTATCATCGTCGTCTGTAGGGGCCGGGAATCGAGGGGAGGGTGGCGGCAAAATAGAAGACTTGTCACTATCATGGCGAAGGTGCGTACGCACAAGACCGCTGAGGCCCAGTCCCGCGGGTAGTGTGGGAGAGTCAGGTTTCTCAGGAGTATCACTAGTCTGTTCTGGGGTGTGTTCAGTGTGCTCTGCGATAGGCTTCAGATCACCCAGGTCCGAGTATCGCACTTCAGGAAGTGGGCAGTTGTTCTCGTCACCGGTTGGGGTCGAAGGCTTGGAAGGAGTCCTGGAGCGGAACGCGGGGTGGTCATTGTGCATAGAGTAATCATCCCGAGATGGATAATATCCCTCATCCTCAGTTTCGCTTGGGCTTGAGTTGTCGAAGAATGTGCCAATATGCCCGGGCCTGGCAGGGGATGCATTTACGCTCTTTCCAGTGGACCGACTACCAGGACGTTGTGCCTCGCTGTAGTGAGAGGATGCGGCAGAACCAGGTCGTGATCGGTGGCTTGGGTTCGAGAATCCCCGGGAGCGAACGCTGACATCTTGGGGAGGTGCAGACGCAAGTGCCGGTGCTGGAGATTGTTGCCGAGGAGGGGGTGTATTCCTTCCTTGGAACATCTGAAGCTGGCGGCGAGAGAACTGGTTTTCATCGTATGCAGTGCGCGGTTTATTAAACATACCCATAGCAGTGGCTTTCCCACGGTCCCCTGGCTGCAAAGCGGCCGCAAAAGTCGCCTCTTCATTTTCACTAACTGGAGGGCTTAGGGGAAGTTGCGAGTGACCAGGGGCCCTTAATTCAGGCTCGGCGAGCTGACGTGTCGGCGAAGTAGCAGACGACGAAGGACTAGTGGGACGAGATGCAGCTGGTGAGGGCTCAGCAATGGCCAGTTTCTGTAGGCCATTGCGCAGGTTTGTGGCGCTCCGAGAATAGCTTCGGTTGAGTGCTGGAATTTCTGGAGTGCCTGCACGGTGGCGGCTCAAGCTTTCTAGTCGATGTAGAGCTGATGCTTGTTGACTATGAGCCGACTGCTCCAATGCATGGCCGTAGAGACGTCGTGTCCTGGCGGATCCGCGCTCTGACGCCATCCCCGGACCCGTTGGCTTTGGTAAGATGACGGACTCTGAACTACTATAATGTGTTTGGGCAGGAGACGTTGCCATGTTCTGTTCATCCACAGAGGTTGCAGCGGTCGATGTACGGCCTAATGGCCCAGATGCAGTGGATGAATATGTGGTTCGGTTGAAAGAGGACACGCTAGAGTGTGCATCTTCAGACTCGTGCGGAGAGTACACCTCTTCTCTCTCCGTTTCACTGAACTTCGGTCGAAAGAGCGAGTGACCAATATCGTGTTCATAGACGGCCCGGCCAGAACGGCCAGATCCTGAGGGACTAATCTTATATATCTTTTGTCGTCCTCCAAACAAATTGTTTCCCTCCGTACGACGGCCGCGGCTCATTATGCTCCCTTTTTGTGATTGCGCATCATCATCGCCAGTATACCCGTCGCTTCCCGATGCGTATGAACCTCGGCCCATGTTAAATGACGGCCGGCTGTGAGTGGAGACTTCGTCGATATCGGGAAGCAGTGTCGGGTTATGGCCGAAAAGATTCAACCGTGAGGCGCGTTTGGGAAATAGTACACTGTCGTCGCTAGCCTTTCCAATCATGGATCCGGGGTCATCTTGTTCTCTCAACATGCTAAACCGCGCAGACAGCTTTGGCATGAGCAAACTCGTGCGGAAATCATCCGTAGATGGTAACGCACTCGAAAGATCGAGGTCGGGCTTTGGCTCAGGTTCTTCTTTTTTGCCTTTCTTCAGCATCCCCCCAAAAGTGGCGGCAGGTGGGGGAGTGGGGGGAACACTGGTTTCAGTGATCACAATCTCATCCTTGATCTTCTTCTCCTTCTTCTCCTTCTGCTCTTTCTTGGACTTGCGGAAACGATTCATGATGACGGACGCCAACTTTTCCACCGGGGACAGTTATCGCGTAAAAAGGGAAGCAGATCTCGACGACGCGCTCAATCCAGTCTTAGGAGTCAGAATAAACCGCTCAGGCGATATTGCAATGCTGATGCGACATAGGGGGGACCTACTGGGCGAAGATCGAAGATGACACAACAAAAGCACACCAGTGTGTGCAGAGCAGGGCAACGTGTGCAGTAGATAAAGATTCGAGGAGGGACGGAAAGGAGAGCTCAATAATTGACAGTGAATGCCAGCGTCAGATCATCCCCTGTGCAGACTGCGGAGCCGGTCCGTGGCCGATCTGTTGTGCAGTGGAATGCGACGTGTAGGACGAGTAAAGTACCGGGGGCGATATGTATAGCAAACAACTCTTCCTTCAAGTCGAACTCAAGGGGTCTTAATTGGGTGATGA